TCCCAGCATGTGGGAAACCCCGACTCTGCCTGCTTCCGGACTATACCATTGCTTGCCAGGGAGGGGTGATAATCTAGGAGAAGGAGAAGCTTTTTTGTTGTTGTTCGTTCCTCCAACCCTCCTTTCCCCCTTTCTCCTTTCTTTTCTTGTTTCTCCCTAGAGAATGGGATTTGAGTAACATCTAATTCTCTGCCTCTCTGATTGGGCAGCACTGTTAAAAGTCACCATTGTTTTCCCACCTTCCCCGCGGTCCAAGGAAAAGACGACCATCAGCCCCAAACAGGTAGCAAGTAACGCTGCAAGCTATAGATATACTCCCGTCACAGTTACGCATTTCCTGTTCAGAAGAGGGTTTTTTTTACAGTCCTCAGAAGTGAAAATGTGTGTAGCAGAAAAGAAAGGATGATAGGAAACTTCAGGATTTCTCAGATGTTTTAATACCTAAACGTATTTTTCCCCGTTTGATCTGTACCCAACAATAATGAATTCTAGCAAAGATGTTTACTCTTTAATTTATAATTCTAACTTAAAAGTAAACCTGTGTAAGTGTTTCCAAATAAACAGCCTGAATCTTTAAGCCTGCCTGTAATCATTTCCTCCCCATCCATGTGCAGTGGCCCCCATGGATGTGCAGTTGCCAGGAAGCTGAATCTGATTCGTACTGCAAGATTCCATTGGCAGTGTGGATGATTCTGTGGAGGATCCAGGAACTCCAGGCACAGGTGAGACACAAGCCAGTCAGTGCAACTCGGCCACGGAGCTCTGCCCAAACAGCTCTCCACAGGTCTCTCCCCTGCAACCAGCACCATGTTCTCCATGATGTATCTCTCCACTGAAAGCAGTGCTAAGGATCCTGAAGAAAGCTCAGCCATTAACAATAGAGCACCCTGCTGCTATAACTACCCAGTTTTGCTTATTATCTCCAGCCTTCCAGCAGTCCTGACCAGTTTTGATGTACGTGAAGACAGAAACAAAGTGTATCACTCATTTACATGGGGAACACAAAGCTGTGACATGCATGCAAGGCTGCTCTGGGTACTCCTGCACCCAGTATTTTTGGGTGCTGGTACATCTAAGGCCAAGAAATGCTTCCTTATTTCTCTGACTTTCCCCAGACCAGCCAGAGATGCCTGGAACAGCTGCTCGAGGCTATGCACAGCAACCATGGGGTTGCTGTGGGGTGCTGGTTCCAGCTTGTGCATGAACCTGTAAATGTTTATGATTATAGGAAGAATTTTATTTTGATCTGAAAGTCTGACATTTATACAGATATGTTTACTTGCATGTATACACAAGTGTAAGTGCATCCAACACTTTGTTGACTGGTAAACCACAGGATAAAACTGATTTAAAAATACAGTAAAGAACTGCTCTATTTGGATGTCAAAGACATTTGTACTACAGCAGCTGAGCAGGCAGGGTTGGCAACAAAGGAGCACCCATCTGGGACCTTGCAGTGGTGTGATTGGTGACAGGAAGGACACAGTCAGAGAATAGAATCCAGGTGAATGTACAACAAGGGCCTGATGTGGGGCCAGTAAGGTTGTGGGTAACATGGAGTGCCATGGGTGCCAGCATGCAAAAGGGATTGGGTCTAAAATGACAAATTAATTAGTCTTTGTCTCCCTTTTATAAGAACCAAGAAATGCAACCTGATTGTGACTAATGGTAGGATCTGCTCTGATTACAATGCAAACAACATTGCAAAATTTTGCATGTCTTAATTCCTCTGTTCGAGCCGATCACCTCAGAGACTCTACCCTTGGCACCAGTCAGGCTCAATACCTCATCAAACGTTAATTTATGATTCTTTTAATGAAAAGCAAACAGGAATCTAGCATGCTGCAAGTGTGTAAATAAAATACCAACTAGTATTATTGCAAAACGACATAATGCTGAAGTTGCAAATATCAAGGCAGTTATAGAAAATAAAAATGCACAAGGATAATGAACTGTTGTTAATGCTAATTGGGTGGGGCGAAGAGAGGCATGCAAATCTGCTATTACAGTATGTCAGCTTGGAATTACAAATAATGGGCAAGCTCTTGAGCACTTAAAACTCATTATCAGACAAGATGACTTTTAAAAAGCTATCGGAAAAGAGAAGGAATGGCAAGTTGTTGTTGAGGTTGTTTTAACAGTATTACATTTACATTTAATTATATCCCACCTTTCCTCCAGAAGCTCAGGGTGATACTCATAGCACTCCCTTGTCCGTTTTTCCGCACAGCAACCCTGTCAGTTGATTGTGCTGAGACTAAGTGTTACTTAGTCAATACATTATTTTGTATCAAGTTGTACTAATAAAGATATTACATTAATATGGACTGTGTGTTAGCAATGGATTTGCACCAAAAGTGGAATGATAATAAAAAACCTCTAGAAAGGGTATCATATTTCCTAAACAGAATAAAAGCATAATTAAACAAAACTCCTTTACATGCTTTTGCCACTTACATCTAAAAGCCCTGGGCTTTTTCAGGGATTTTTACTGAGCATTTTCATTTTCATAGGTGAATGAAAATGCTCAATAGTTGATGCAGGTGACTAACAGGAATTTTACTAGAGAGTATAGAGATAAGTCTACTGTTTTAAGGGGGGTGGGCATCTCTGCTGCTTAGGGACAATTGGCAGATTCTCAGATTACCACATCCGTGATGAGCTAGCTGCTGCAGAGGGCAAGTGTCGCAATTAAGAACAATGCTGAGGTTCCTCTTTATTGGTAGTTTTCCATGACTAGCTCACAGTCAGAGGGTTGGAAGATGCCTTCTCTGAATGTGTCCTGGAAGGGAATTATTGGGCAATTGAGTTCATGATAGGGTAACTTCGATTTATGGCATGCATGTTTTAGTTCTGGCTAACCATGAAGGAATGTGCATTTTTGCATATAAACTCTTATGCTGCCCAGTGTACAACTAAGCATGTGATCACAGGTTGTTCATAAATCTTCAGGAGACAGAAAAAGTAGAAAGATTCCCATATCTGTTTTATGTATTAACATTGCTCAATGGATGTGAGGGTGATCTGGCTGCGACATCTGTCACCCCATTGATCGCCGGGGTTGTTTCGGCTGATCTGGCTGGCTAGGCGGGTGTCCCCTTCCTCCCTCACCGCTCCATGTGCATCCCTCCCAAAGCTGCGTGCTCAGAGGAAGAGGACGACCATCCCAGATAGAAGGAGAGTACCGATCTTCGGTCAAGGGTATACGATAGCTGCGCTCCCCTGCTAGAACCTCCAAACAAGCTCAAGGTCCATTGCTCAAGATAATAATAAAATTGTATCGAGACTGTTATTAGGGAGCTGTTTGGGTGTTTAAGATCACATTATTAACATTACTTAGGACCTACTGAGAAATATATATATTACTTTATCATATTGTAGTTGAGTTACAGTGAATATGTGCCTGTTTGTAAGTGAATTAATTTTAGTTCCTAGAAGGTTCTCTAACATAAGCGTGTATGTTCTATAATTCACATTATCTATTACTTTTAGCATCAGGTCAATTTTACTTTACTAATTTTACTTCAAATGGTGCTGGGATTCAGAGCAAACCAATGAAAGTGATTTTAAGGCACTCTCTTTATAATCAATTAAGTTGTTCTTAAACTGTTATGGGTTTTAAAGGTTAAAATTAATGCCTTGAATTAATCCCAATAAAGATGATACAAAATTGGAACCACATGTTTCAATGTCTCAACTTTTTTAAATAATAAAAGCTTCCTTTTCCACCAACCCAATGTCTGGATTGTTTTCAAAGGCCAGATCATGATGTAGGCATTACAGTGGGCCTGCAAACTGTCATTAGTGTGTAACTAGCCTGTAACCAACAGAGACCAAGTTTCAGTATATTTTGAAAAGTTGCCTTTGCAAAAAGCTCCTGATAATGGCCACCACTGGAAGATTCCCTCAACTAGGAAACTCTTCAGAGGGAGTGCAGGTCAATCCAGAAATGTTGTGCACTCTTTCACCCATGTTAACAGAAGTGCCGGTCTGTAACATTATGAATTAGATTTCATCGTGTTACTCATCTAGTACTTTATTACGTGTCCTGTTTCAATCCAAAACTAGAAAAGAAATTAAGTCTAAGCAACAGATTTTTGAGGTTGTAGGTAAACTGCTGAAGGAGGGAGGGGAAACCAACGGTTAACCCATTCTTTCAACAGAGCAGTGTTAGGTTCCATTTTAACTCTTCATATTTGGACTTCTTGAATGTGAAAAATGGAAGCTGATCTTTAGCTGCACAAGGGTATAAGTTGAAGGTTGCTGTATCGAGGCTGCAAAAGTTCAAAGTGTTACAAGGTGGCCGCAAAGAGATACAGAAAAATCTACCTCTTTATTGCCATTTCATGATCATTCCAATTATTGCAGCCCAGATCTGGCAGCCCTAGCTAGGTCATGGGCAATAAAATTAATATATATTTTTCCACTCATTGTATCATATTAGTTTCCACACTCATATATGACCAAAGTACTAGTTTTCCATTTGTAACTGTTAAGAAAGCCAGGTTCTTCCAACACAGCTAAAGAGCAGAAGTATAATGCTTAACCTTTCTGCTTTAAATGGAAGTTATTTCTAGATAACTGGATTTAGGATTTCAATTACATTGCATTATCTTCTTTCCCTTTCAGTGTTCACTGATTGGGCAAAAAGGGTCTTTTTCTCAGTGTGCAGAGATCAGAGACATACATGGAATAGTCTTTTCAATAACGTCCCTAGGTCAGCCTGAAAAATTACGTTCTTACAGCTAGAGATGGAAAGT